AGATTATAAAATTGATTATTAAGGTGCCATATAAAAAGAAAGTACCTTATCTAGACATGAAATAGTAGATTGTAGATATGAAGACCAAGATGATGTGGCCTTCTGTTTAGTCGCAGTCTCCTCCAACTTTAATGTTGGTTAGATCCTGTGTATTCACTGCCATAGTATTCGTGAGTTCCAGTATTGGACCATTGACTTAATACATTATCAAACGTTACGCCGACATCACAAGTCACTTGCAACTTGATAAGTTCTAACTCTGTGCCTCTCACTGACGACGCCGGTTACTATGCCGGCGAAACGTTTGGGAATGTACCAGGTCAATGGTCCAATACTGGAAACCACGAATATTATGGCAGGGGACACGAAGCTAGGTACGTTCCACAGGGTCTCGCTGACGGTCCGACTAAGTTGCGTCCAACTAGTACTATGAAAGAGTAGAATTCAAAAATTTCAATGCTATGAGATTTGTTTGTTTCTCAACTTATGATATAGGGAGGCCTCAAGGTGCCATTAAATTACACTTAGGCTTGTTTTCCAAAAGGTTTTTTTCATTCAAGATGGGTTGCATTTTTGACTTTGCCTGGGCCTCAGCAGATCTCCAAAGGGATTTGAAAGGGTTGTTTAGGTAGTAAAGACACAATGATAATTAGTTAAACAGCAACGGATGCAAGAGGGTGGCAAATGCGAATTTCAAGGCAAATCAGTCCTCTTTCAAATCATATTCAATGGCATAGTGGTGCCTACTAATCGTGAAAAATTTTCACTCTCAATTCTTAAACCAACTTTAGCCACAAAGTGTGATTAATTTATTATTCAAGAAATACTTATAGTTTTGAACCATAGTTATGACGGAAATTTGATAAATATAAATTATATTTTGTTCGCTTTTTGGTGAGTACATATTTCGCAACGATCATTTAAGTTATACGAAGCTCTATAAAATATAGCAAGATGTGTCCATTGAGTGCATTATAAATCGTTTATCCTAAGCTATGTAAGCTGGAAAAATAGAAATTTGGTTGGAAGAATATTTCCTAATATGGTACTAAAAAGTATAGGTGTCTTTTCTTAATCTGCTGCATAATCAATCCCCAAATTAAAAATAAGTGAGTAACTAAAATATATCAAAATGACAAAGAAAAACTGGAAGGCAGATCATATATTATAAGCACACAGTACTGACCTCCTTAGTCAAATTTTGACTAAGCACGTGCTCTCCTATTCGAAGACCCTGTACGCGCTCTAAGATGGCGTATACGCTCTGAAAGAAGCCTGGTGGGACTCGATTTAACGCACCATCGATCTTTCGCCGCCGACTCCACAAGTTGCGAAGATCGTTCTCAGGCCCACCACAGGTCCCCGTAGAAGCAATTCCGATTGTATACCCGGGAGGTGGTTGCTGAACGATTGAATGGGACCTCGTCACAGACCCACTATTGACCGCAGAAGCAGCGTATGAACTAATTGGTGAATGTGACTGTGAAGATTGCAAAGAAGTGCAAATCGATTCCATCTTAGTTGGATTCTGTGCCATAAGAGAGTCAGAGTTTGAGGAGAGGCCAAACGACAAGAAAGAGTGAGGAAGATAGAAGGAAGGCAGGAAAGCAATATCCAGAAAAAAGTGATGTGTACGTTTCTGCAAACTGGTCCGGAGAGTGCGCCCGCCTTTAATTATACAAAACATAGGCCCAAAAGAATGGGTAATTGAGTAGAGATACCAATCAGTAAAGCAAGCAAAGAGGATGGAAAACCAACGGTGAAAGTAATTACACTCTTATAAACCCACCCAAAATAGTATTAGAATGAATGAGGATGAAAATTGAGATAGAAAGAAGGCTCAGCCATATGAAATAAAAGAATGATAAGGATATAATCCCGGTGGAGAAAAAGTGCCACAAGAGAAAAAGAAGCTATAACCATTTACCATTAAGTCGTCAAATGAGTGACGATTTGTTGTAACTTTGACGATTTTTAGTTTATTATAGATTGAGATGCTTAATGACGATGCTGACTACGATAGAAGTAAAACGCCAGCGAATGTCCGAAGAACATACGGAAAAAGACCTAGTAAGGGATATTGTATTTGAAGTATTGCTGAAAATGTAGCTAGTTAGAGAAAGTAAAGTCAGTAGAACCATATTTGGCAAAAGAATATTGCGACCAAGTAAAAGAACACATAAGCCTTGTATCTACATTTCCTTCTTATATATTTTTTTCAAATAACCGAAATGGAATCCAAAATATCAAATGTAATAAAAACGTACTTTAAATAAAACCGATGATAAATGTAGGTTGGTTTGATGTTCTAATGACTAACACTTTAACTGCTCATAGCTAAACAGGGAGATCTTAGTTGTCCCTCAAATTTAATATGTATTATTTCCAAAAGATTTTCCAGCCCAAAAAGATTGCAGTTCGGTCACATTCAGGTCTGAAAAAAACACTAGCAGGAGCAGAGACGTACAACACAATATAATTCAATCCACATGTCCAAATTCCAGAGATTAACATTGTATTAATAAGAAGACAAAATAAGAATATTTAACGTCTGTAATAAGTAAAGACGAGCGAATTTAAGACTAATCTATATTGCCTATGATACCTGAAATTACATTTAATCGCAATTAAGTATAATTCGAAATAATCTGTAATTTTACATAGTTTTCGCCGTAGATGACCACGGAGATTTAGATTCCGATTGCTGAAAGTCTCACGGGAAAATAAATATTTGACTAAGTCAACATATTCCACTGTGACTAAGTTTCAAAAGAATAAAACAAAATAAAAATGATCAAAATATATTCTTATTAAAATGATAAAAATCCTCCGAGAGAAAGCCCAAGCCTTTGCGCACACTTTAACTAATAGAATTCGTTAATTCACTAGGTTGCTTCCGCTATCTAGTTTTCATACCCTGCCAAGAAGTAAGTTTCGCATGAAATTAAAATTTTTTGGAAAACTCACAATGGTAGACTTGCGGCGGTTTGTCCTCGCTAAAATGAAAATTTAAAAAATTAATTAGACAAAGAAGTGGTTATAAATATGAAGACCAAGATATTTAATCTGTCTTAAGGCATTAAATTCATAAACGAACTGGATAGAGTTTATGCGCCCTCTAATGAGTACTAACAGTCTTTAATAACCTATCAATATTGTTCATAAAGTTATTGCTGTACAATCACTTTTCACCATATAGATCAAAAGGAAGTGGGTTTGAAGGAACTTGTTGCTGATGAGTGTTGAAATAATCTATTGTCCGTAAAAAAGCGAGTAGAAAGGATTTGTGGGTTAATCAGCCAGAATAAATTTGCAGATCATTGAATTTCATTTGTTTTCGCAACTTGGTCATATTAGCAGGAAGACCTAGAGGAATAGCCCTTGCCCGGAGTCCATAGTATGCAAGGTAATTTCCAGAGTCGGAACATGGATATAGTATATTCCAAACGTTTCGACGGCATCGTCAGTGAGTCTCGGCCCTCTTAACCCCACACTATAAGGCGTCAGAGACAAGAGAAATCAATCATTCGACCAATTGCTAATCATTTGTAGTACCCTCCCATCACCTTCTGGAAGTATTTACCTATCCTATGTGCTAGGATCACCCCTACACTAACACAATTTCTTACTTGCCTATTTAATCGTGGTTCTGATCTGCCCTTATGAGCGGATTTCAAGAGGCTTATTCACACTCCCAGCTGGCTTTCTCACCCCTCTTGTGTTTGAAAGATTGATCTAAATCTGCCCTATTAGTCCGCAATCCACTTCCTCTAGGTC